AGTACGTCGAGTGGCTTATTTGCTAGTTGTGGCGCACTCAGTGGAGTGTATGAATAAATAAATAAATAAATAAAATGATACTGCCGCGGCATTCCACGATTTCATCGCCTCTAGATTTCCGGACTTCTATGCGAATAGGATACTCAAACTTTCTTCTCGTTAACAAAAGTGTGTCGATAGTAATGGTTGTTATTATTGATGAAGTTTTGTTTAAGCCGAGATATACGCATTTGAAGTTTGAGGAGCAAGAACGCAAGAACTTTCTTCACGACCTAATATCTTTTGTAGTTTGCAACATTGGCTTTCCGCTCTACTCCCGCTCGAGCTCGTGAAAGTGAGTTGAGGAATATCCACTAAAAACCAAATCTTTGTAGAACCACCTGCAGTGGGCAGAACACCTTTGTCTTTTTTAGTCCTTTTTATCACTTTTATCCTTACAAAAACTGACTGCAGTAAACGCGGGGGTACTGTGGTTGCTGTAGAGATTGGGTCCAGCAGATCCACTCTGTTTTCCGTGCGAACTTGCTGTTGTTTAGAAGGGAAGTTGAGACGAGTCGCGTAGGTACGCAGTTTCACAAAGTATCAACATCTCCAGGATTTCAAATCCAGAACATTCGATGTTCATAACCAAAGCTGTTGATTTACCATGTGAGGCCGAAAGAAAAACCTGATCAAAACCACAGTACATCCTTCCGGGTATTCTTCCCATGATTCCTTCTACAAATGTTTACATGAATTACATTCTGCTATAAGGAATGAGGCTCGTATTGTAGACCATAGTCGCAACCGTCGCTCCCAATGGATGTTTTTTCAGATTTTCAGACCTGTCGCGCGACTGGTCGCGGACCCATCTCACGAGCGACCGGCAACCGGTCGCGCGACCGATCGCGCGACNGACCAGTCGAGCGACCAGTCGCTAGCGACCGGCGACCAGTCGCGCGACTGATCGCGCGACCGGTCGTGGACTATGAAAGATGCCAATCGGTCTGTTTATATTGGTACTCTAACAAGCCGAAGGTAAGCAGTAGTGGGCATGTCATGGTGCACGCGTTAGTGTGCATAGCCCAACTGGTAAAGGAAAATACAAAAGAAGTGTTGAGCATTGAAAGCTTTGCCCAGAAGTTGAAAAAGCCACCAAAATTGGATTACAAAAGAATGTTAAGTTTCCTCAGGGAAAGGCTGAAAGTTTGCTTAATTAGTGACTCGAATTTGTCCTGCTTAGTTTTTGCTCCGTATCAAAGGTTATACTGCAAAGGCACAGTTTTAAGAAAATGTGCACATATCAAAAAACCTCTGCCTTCGGAACCTTCTAGTTTCATAGCAATGACAGCTCGGATCCTAGAACACATGCTTCGAGTACTTCGAAAACCTTCTCATAGTAGACAGGTGACAAAATCTTACTCCATTTTTTGACGTGAATTGCGAACCCACTTGGAAGTACTCCTAATAAAGATTTCCAATATCTACGCTCTCTGGTGTGTTGTCTTCGTTAAGGTAAAACACCCTAGGTGCTACGATATAACTTGAACTAGGGAGGAACAAAAGGCAATAAAATGCTTTTGTCCATATCACCTGATGCTATAACGAGAAACTCGTTATCGAATAGGAGGAGGAAGAGTCGTAAAAGGCAAGCACAGTAGCCCTCCTGGTCACCTGATGAAAATAGCCACGACAGACCCATTTAATCATAAAATCGTGAGCATTTTGTACGATTCGGAGTTTACACATCTCTTTTGTAGTTCGAATTTCATAGTTCGAGCTGTTACGTCATACTAGCCAATTGATTGTGATACGTACATAAAAGGTGCAAACAACTTGCATAGTATAGGAATAGACAGATTCTTCTGTAGCCTATGCGTTTCTGAAAGACGAAAAAGTTAGCAATGGATGTGTTGATTTTCTTATTCCTGTTACTTTTCTCCGCCCTTGCTACAGTGCTGACGGGTATGGTATCTTCTCCCTGAACGGCGTGTCGTGCTCGCCGCAGGCGATCGCGCGTTGTAAAGGGAAAGATTCGGGTTCCCAGGGTAGGGTACGGAGAGTCGCAGCGGAACCACTGCCGCAGGCCGTGCGTGTTCATAGAAAAAATCCGTCACCCAGTCCTGACAGTGATGAGTGAGTGTCTGCATAACATTCGTGTCTCCCGTGACTCTCCTTTTCCGCTTTTCATATACATGTGTTGCCCTACCTCGACGTCATCTCTCTTTAAATGAAGTGCTAAGTTTTCGTGACTGTTTGTATACCGGTTTGTACGTATGCCCGCAGGAAGTCACCTAGACAAGATGAGGATAGTGAAATGCAACTTGGGCATATAGTAACAGGGTGAGGAACATATTATGAGTCCCTCGCCCTGTTACCTATGAGTATGTAGTGTATTATATTATTACCAGGCGGCCACGCACGCTATTGCGTGCGCTGGGGGCTCTAGCTA